AAAGAAAAAAGAGAAAGAGAAAGCAGGATCATAAAAGAAAAAAGCGCGGATATTACAGCTAAAAAATTCAAGACAAAAAAAACGACAACAACACCCGCACACACGGCGGGAGAGCCGGTAGAAGCAACAGGCAGACACACGCGCCTTTCAGGACTGTTCGTTGTGTATACTCCGCGCTTTCTCTCTCACGCACACTCGCATGCAGAGATATAGGAAGAAGAATAGTAATGGGCACGACAACCGCAAGAAAAGCAAGGATTTTTTTTTTCTACATCTAAGCATACCATATTTGTGTACTATGCAATATATAGTCAGTCACGTTTATTAAGCAACTCGGGGTAATCTTTCACCCCGCACCGCAGCAATTCGGAGGCCCTGACGCCTCTCTCCACAGGTGCTAAGGAGCCATTTTGCATCTGACGCACCCGTCGTAGGTGATACATGCGTGCCTCCTGTAGACTGTCAAGGTTGCTTTCCATCTCAGCCAGCTGCTTCGATGCTTGCGCCAGCACGGGTTCAAACGACTTCAATTGCCGCAACCTATCTTCTATACCAGCCTTCTCACTACTGTACTGCGACCGCGACTTTTCACTGAGGGTGTCCGACCGAAGTTGCTGCTCCAGTTGCTGCAGTCGCATGTTAAACGCTTTCATTGCCTTTTTCCATTTTTCCATGCCGCCTGTGAGTTCCTCCGCCTCACGCAGCGCGCTCTTTAATTCGTCACGATCTGCCGTTAGTTCGTCAAGGTCTCTCTCCAAATTAGCAAGGGATATTAATTCTACATCAATTTCCTTTTGCGCGTCCTCTGGGAGGCACGCGGAAAGCGCACTGCCCACCGGTAACTGCCGTGTGGGCTGCGTTTCTATCTGGCGGCGATTCGAAGCACCTGCACCGCGCCTCTTGATGCGTGAAATCTCTCGGTCCTTCTGCTGCAGCTGGACCTGCAGCCTCGCCACCTGCGCCTCTGACGCACGCAGCTTTCTCTGCAGGCAGTTCAACTCCTGGGAGTGGGAGGCAGACATCTTGTGGAGGCGCTGCTGCCCCTCCCGCAAGGCGCGCCGTTGGCGGTTGAGCTCGTCACTCATCTCCGCCACCTGCGACTGGAGGTGCTTGACCATCTCCGCGTTGGCCTCTTGCGCGGTGACGAGCGCCGTTGCCTCCTGCACCTTCCGCCGGTACTCCGCCGCCGTCTCCTCGGCCTTCCGCAGCCGCTGTTGGTAGTGCATCCGCAAACTTCGCCGCTCCTCCTCTTTCCCCTGACGCTCCATCTCCGTCGCCTCCACCTTTGCCTCGGCACGCGCCAACTCATCCTCCAGGCGGTGCTTGACGTCCTGCATCTCCTGCAGTCGGTACTTGTAGTACTCCAACTCCCGCACCGCCTCCGCTTTTTGCGAGGCCAGCTGCTGGATCAACCCCTCCTTCGCCGCAATCTCACGGGAGAGGTGCTCCAGGGCCGCTTCATCGGGCGTGGACAGCCGCGCCTCCTCACCCTCCCGCTCTAGCTTCGACGCCTGCAGTTCGTCGCTCTCGGCCCGCAGTGGAGAGAATGGCGCCATTTCCGTTTCCTCTGCGGCATCCTCGTGAAGGGAGTCGTCCAAAAGTCTTGTGCCACTTAGCTCCATCGAGCCGGTAAGACTACGCTGTTGTTGAGCCTCAATCAACAAGAGACGCTTTTCCAGCTGCTTGCGCTTTTCAACCTCAATCATGGCGGCGTACTCCGCATTGAAGAGGTCTTCCTGCAGCCGTCGCGTCAACTTCCGCTCGCATGCAAGCAACTCCTGGACCTCCCCCAGACGTGCCTCCTCAAGCGCAGGAAACATGTGCACTACGGGCGTCTGTGCATCCTGCGAAGGCTGCTGTGCCGCCGCCAGCTGCCGCCGAAGCCACGCAATGGTTCTCTCGGCCTCCTCCAAGGAGGAGACGCCTGCGGCTACTTTAAACGGGGTCGTGCGAATAGACTTGGCGCGATCGGCGTACTTTAGCGTATTTAGCGTTTCCTCAAAGGAGGAGGCGTCAGGCGAGACGCAGGCGATCATGGTTGTTTTTGAGTTCCCGCCTAGCATTGGCTGCAGAAGACGGGTGAGCTTTGAGGCGCGGTATGGGACGTGTGCCCTCCGCTCACACAGGGCCACAATAACATTTCCTAGTGCGAGAAGCCCACTGTTGATGCTGATGCCCTCACGCATTCGTGAGGCCTTATCCGTCCCCTTTGAACGCTCGCCAACGCGCGGCGGGGTTTGCTCGTCCCACGACTCATCCATGCCGCCGCTCGCTAATTGCCGGCCGTGCGCCTTTTTAAGGCGCTCGCTCCCCGCCAGGTCCACTAAACCAAAGCGCGACACCACCCCGCCGCGCGTGAGCGTGATCGTGAGCAGCAGGTGTGAGCGGGAGCTTGTCGCGTTCATCAGCGTGGAGGCGGTGCGACGGTTGGCGGGCGCGCTCTCCACGCACGCGAGCAGTTCCTCCTTGCTCCCCACGACCACCTCGGAGAGGCCCTGGATGTACACGCCGCACCGCGTGTCTTCCCGCAGCGACAGTGACGCCGTCGAGCCCAGCGAGTGTGACGCGAGTGAGGCGGGGGCGGAGGCGGATGCGGAGGCGATGAGGTCGCTGATGCTCTCGTTGTACACCTCCACCGCGGAGAAGCGGAACTCGGGCTTGTCGCCGTCCCCCGCGGCGGCGGCCGTCTCCAAGGCGGCCGACACACGCCGCACCACGTCCGCCGAGAGGGAGGACATGGTGAACGTCTTCCCCGCGCCCGTCTGCCCGTAGGCGATGGTGGAAACGGTGTAGCCGTCCACAAACGCGGACACCAGCGGCGCCGCAACGGCCTCGTTCACCGCCTGCGATGTCGCGTCCATGTCGAAGACGTCGTCAAAGGCAAATTGCCGCGACTCACCAATGGCAATCTGGCGGCCGCTCACCGCCAGGCAGAGACGTGGCTCCTCATTGGACAAAAAAGGACGAACTCGTACCGTAACGCGGACGTTCTCCATGTACGTATAAAAGCCCCCGGCAACTGTGGTGTATATGATATCTTCGCTGCACTCTAAAAGGAAACAATCCACGCACAGCCCCGCAAGAAGCGGAGGCAGGGCCGCAAAAAAAAGACAAGATAAAATAAACAAGCGGCAGGCGACCAATGTGGATTGCTAATCATTATCGAATAGGCGTGGGAGGCGTGGGATGAGGAGGAGAAGCAAAAGAAAAGAAAAAAAGAAGAAGAACAAGTGTGGTGTGGCCACTGTGTCACGGCCGTGCAAAGGGGGAAATTGAGTGGAAGAGAGAAAACTCAGTGGAGAGACCGCGAGGTGGTGAGCCCGAACTAGAAAAAAAAAAAAAAACGGTACGGATATATCGGCCACGGCACGCAAACGCACAAACACACACACACACACACACACATACGTATATAATATATGTATAAAAGCACAAACGCAATGTGTGCACGCATGCATAGCGTCCCTCGCTTAACAAACCACGCGAACACCATTACAGGAAAGAGAGTGGTCGTGAACCATTCGCCGCCTCTCACCTCCCACTACTCTCCTTGACGATTGCGTCCATCACCTACCCGCGTCGCCGCGACGTCTCCACAATTGCACGGTGATGGTTTATCATAAATTCTACGGGACTTGGCTTCGCACTTTGCACCGCAGCAGCCATGCCGTTGTCGCCACTGTAGTGAAAATTCTGGTGATGAAAATTTTGATGGCCCCGCCACGGCGGCGAGGAGGACACTGAGCGGGCCGACACCGAACTTACGCACGACGGGGCTTGACACACCACAAACTGCGTGCGGTCTCTACCGGAGGAGGAGGAAGAGGCGGCGGCACTGCGACTTCGCCGCAAAGGCGACGCCCAGGCCTGTCGCGTGCGTCCGGACTCCCGCTGCGGCTGCGGGTGTTGACGCTGGGGCCCTGAAACGGAGCAAACCGTGCGGCGCGAGACGCTCGGCTCGCCTGGAGGCACCTGCTTTGGCCGCCACCACTCCTGTGCCTCCTGCTTGCGCCGGCGCGACTCCTCCTGCCGCAAAATGTGGGCCTCATACCCGGAGACGGCCGTCGCATCCTGCGCAGGCAGCGGAAACACCGGATCCACCGCGGGGCGAAAGGAGCACTCCGACAGCTGCGTGCGTTCCAACTCCGCCCTGGACTCACGCAGACGGCGCTCCCGCTGCCACTGCCACATCTCGCTGCGCTGTGAGACGGAGAGTTCGCGGCCCACGCGCCGCTCCGGTGACCGCCCCACTTTGGGGTGGAATGTGCACTCCGCCATCTCCTGCGCCTCCTCCATCGCCCGGCGTCGCCGAACCTCTTCGTCCATGCGCTGCTGCGAACGCCGCCACAAAAGCTCCCGCGCCCCCTCCGCCGTCGGCGCGTAGCCGTCCTCCTGCAGCATCTGCAATTGGTGCCGCCACATTTTTTCCGAGGTGCGATTGACACGCGGTCTAAACGTGCACTGCTCCCTCTCTTCCCTTTCCCGCGCCTTCTGAAGGGATTGCTTTTCCCGGGCACACTTAGCGGCCTCGCGCGAGGAGGGGTGGAGACGCGTTGTCGGGCTATGCTGGAGTTCTTTTTCCGTCGCCTCCGCCCTCTTGCGCTCCACGATGAGGCGCGACGTCTCGCTGATGCAGGGAATGCCCGTCGGCTCCTTTTGCGGAGCCACGCCCGCCCTCTGACGCCGCAGCTCGCGCATCCTCAGTGCGTCATTGCGGTATAACCGGTCATACACCGGCGCACTCGGGTCGCTGTAGTAGTTCCTAGACAACTCCAGCGATGCCGGAGCCACGCACGGCGCAAACGTGCACGACGTGTCGCGCGGTGCCCCTCTCTCCTTTCCCCCCTCCGCAAGCAACCGGTCCTCAATGTTTCCCGGGCGGTGAAGCTGCTTGGCGTACGCCGTAATACGAGGCGTGAACGAGGACTGCGGCCGCTCAGGCAGCTCCCCTGGACGTGAGGAGGAGCCGTCACTGAGGCTACTTTTCATGCCCACGCTCTCCTCTGCCAGCCAGTACATGCGCTCCCGCCGTGCCGCCTCCTTCGCCATAAAGTAGTCTTCTATCGTTTGGCCCTGGTGACGCTCGGAGATGGACTTCTCCTGGGCGTATTGCGAGATGCGTGGGACATCGCGCAGTGCCTCCAGCTCGCGCCGCAGTGCCGCCTCGCGCAGTCGAGCCAACTTCTCCTCCCGCTGCTCCAGCCACTTCCGCGAAACGTCGGTTGGATCACGCGAGACCAGTGAGCGCGCCCGCGCCGTCACCTGCGGCGCACGCATCTCCGCCGCCATCTCGGCTCGCTGCCGCTCTTGGCTCTCGGCCTGTCGCGCCTGCGCCGCCTCAAGGCGCTTGGCGTGCAACTCGTGCAGCCGCTTCTCCACGGCCTCGCTGCGGCGGGTGGTGGAGTGACGGTTCATCCCCTCCGCGTACTCCGACACGGTCGGCTTGAACGGGCATTGCCTTCGCTCGTCCTCCAAGTGCTTGCGGCGCAGCAGCTCCTTGTGCTCCGCGTAGCGCGCCCCCGCTTGCTGCAGGAATGACACCACGTCACTATCCGCCGAAACGGTCACCGCCATCACGGGACAGGCCTGCTACAGACGAAACGTCGGAGAAGCCAAACAAAAAAAAAAGGCGGAGATGTGGAAAGAAGATGCGCAGACACGCCCCCAACAGCGCTCAGACAACGTTCGCGCCCTGTCGAGACGTCGACCCGCGGGTTGGTGTCGTTGAATTCCCGCAAGCACAGCGCGGACTTTGCATCCGCTTTCACTTCTTTCTCCCTGTCGCTTTCCCTCTCAATCTCCCCCCCCCCTTTGGGCTGCCCCGCCGATGCTGCTACAACAGTGTCTTCTGCAGCAAAGCGGAGGTAAACGCTGCCGAGTGCCCGAAGCGATCCAGCTCAAGCGCACGAATGCGTCGCGCAAGAAAGTGAGCCACGCTCTCAGGGTCGCCAGCGAGGGTTTGCTGGCGGAGTTGCTCTAACTGCTGCAGCTCCACAGCCGTCGCTGCGGCCCGCGTGTCACACTGAACCCCCACACTGCAGCTCTCCCGCCTAGCCGTAACCTGAGAAGTCTTCGCAGCCTCAAGGTCTCCAAGACGCACACAGGCCTCTTCGGACGCGCGCCCCTTTGCACGCTGTAGGGGCCGTGGCGGCAACGAAGAGCACCAACTAAGTCGCCCATCTAAAAAACTGCCGTGAAGCTCACCACCGTCGTCACGGGCCTTACTGCCGCCCCCGCGGCTTCCGGTTTTGCTTACACACGAGTCGTACTGAGAGTCAATGAGGCGTTGAATGGCCGTCATCCCATCCTCATCCGCAGCGTCGTCGGCGTCCACGCTCGGGCCCAGGCTGCCAGTGTTTGGCCTGACCAGAGCCTCACGCCGCAGCGGCTCAGTAGAAAACAGCTGGTTCAATGAGATGCCGCGGTGCGGAGGCGGCGGGTCGCCGCGATTCACATCGCGGGCAACGCCGCCATCGACGGGGCGCCTCCCCCAGTGGCGCGTATTTTTTCCCTCCCGCCGTTGCCTGTGCGCCGCAAAGCCGACGGCGTTTGCCATCAAACCCTCAACGTCCGGGTCACCGCCGCCCGTTCGTCCCATCCCGCGCCTGCGTGGAGAAACGACCGCCAATGCAACGAACAGCAGCGCCTGAGACCTCTCGCCGCCGCCGCCGCCGCAGCTGCTGCTGCTGCTCTGGACAGTAGTGGCACTGCCTGATAGACAGAGATAAATAGAGAGAGAGAGAGAGAGAGAGAGAGACAAGACGCAGGCCCCCATGAGTCGCAACCAAATAAAAAGACCAAAAAAGAAAAAGAAAATAATAAACATTCAGCTCACAAGGACGAGTAGAAGCAACACGAAATTGCAGATGTGAAATAGAAGAGAGGCACACAAATCCGCCGCGTTTCTTCCTTCAACAAGGCCCCACGTCTCTCTCCCTCTCTCTCTTCAAACTTTGCTTTTGCTTTGCTCCACTCCCCTTTTGGACCCACTTCGCGCCCTCTTACCGCTGCTGAAGCATGTCTTGCTCTATTTCCCGGCGCAGGGCCTTCCGCCGCTCCTGCGCCTGCTCCAGAGCGTCAAAGGTCTGCTTGATGGGGATAGAGAGCGTCTGGTAGCGCTCCTCCGCACGCGTGACGCCAATGCGGCAGACCCTATACATTTGGTACAAAGTGAAACAAATCGCCAGAAAGAAGGAGTACACCAACGCGTCACTGATGGCCGCCGTGCTGCGTAAGAGGAGGCGCAGACTAAAAATGCGCCACGCAAAGTAGCGTCTAGCCATTGCCAAGCGGAAGCGACGCAGGAGTCGCCAAAGCGCCAGCTCACGCGCCTCCCGGTCAAGGTTGACCAGCATCGTGTGGTAGTGGAGGAGGCGCAGGCCCAGCCTGACGTTCGCCTCGAGGGGACGGGTGGAGAGCGCCCGCTCCATCATCTGCCGGTCCTCGCCCTCCTTGCGGAGACGACGGTAAAGGCTGTGCAGCGCGCCGGCGGACTGCCGCGGCGCCTGCGGCTGCCCTCCGCCCTCCACGCCGCGGCGCTGAACCGTTCCAGCTGCGGCAGCCGCGTTGAACCGCCTCAGTCGCAACATGCCAAATCGATGCCCCCCGCGGCGCGTGACAAAAGCGTGGTGAAGCCACAACAATAACAATAGTAATAATAAATGCTGTTTCTGCGATCCAGGCTGCGGCACCACACAGCGCCGAGAAGTGGGGGAGAGAGAGAGAGAGAGCAAAGAAAGAAAAAGCCAAGAAAAAAGCAACGGAAGAAGAAGCGAGGGAGTTTGCAACAAACGGCGGGCGTCGATGGTGGGGTGCCGCACGAGCGACTAATACCGCGCTCGCCAAAACCGCCCCCTCCTCCTCCTCCTCCGACCCGGAGGGAGGCGGGAAAGGC